ACCATGAGTTGCTATGCACAGATCAAGACAGGGAGTTGCTATGCTATGCAAGACAGAGAGTTGATCTAGTTTGGTTTTCAATATATGACGAGTGTCAATCTTAACTCAATGACTTGGTTTCTGCTCATTATTTTTAAATTATAGGTGGATCGTGAGTGCGCTTCAAAACTCCTTGCATTCGAAGGCATGCTTGCGGTACTGCTGCCAGCTCGTGGTGGACTCGTGCTCGAGTTATTTCGCTGGTTTATTTGTGTTCGCGCTCCCATCTATATATGATTGATTCCATTGCCAGCACGATTCAATCTCTAGTACAATAATTGCCGTTTCTATTTGCTATTCTTTATAACCTGCTGAATTTAGTTGATTAACAAATTACTGCCCGTCTGAGGTAGTTTACAAACTTCAGATATTAGTGACATCGATGGTTTGATTGTGTTTGAAGTTATCGAGTGATAGCAATCGTTATTGCTATCGCTGATAAGAAGCCTTAAGCCACAAACAGCAGTCCTTGCACCGCTACTCTGATAGTTGAAATACAGGGTTATTCTAAATGATGAACCCAATTTAATATATTTTTATTCAATCAAGTATGAATTTAAAATGAATAATTTATGCATCAATGGGAAGAGAAAGATTCCAAGTATTTTTTAACCTATTCAATCGCGGAATTGGGCGCATTAAATTTTTTTTATAGAAAATATGCTTTCTCGTGTGTGGGACGAGTTTGGCTACCGTTTAGTAGGATGTTTGCCGTGCAGCACAAGAAAGACATATTGAACATTTAAAATATGTTGAAAAATTTGTTAATCTTTCTCTTTGCATTGAAATATATATTATTCAATTTGAATTCATACTTAATTAAATGCGAATTTGTTAAATTAGGTCTATAATTTAGAAAAAAACCCTATATATTCTAAAAAAGCAAATTCTGCTAAAAACACATGCTTGCTGTAACATATTAACTACGAAATTGAACTCGTGCTCATTACTTATGAATATTGATTCATCTCCATAGTATTGAGGCGTTTGAGGACAGTTTCCAAGTTACTCCACCATTCTGAAGTGGGCGCGTGTTTATATTAAGAAATGCTGGTGCATGGTGATGCTGGTAGTGTGAAGTACTGCGAGCGAGTGCCTGATGAGCAAATGTAAGCAGCCTGTGCTCAAGGCCCCACTCTTATTAATAACGTGGGGCCAGCCACTGCCAAATCATGTGACGCCTCACGCACTCACGCACGCAGCCACTAAAGCTCTACTGCGGCGGCCTTCGCCTCTCGGGTGCCGGGCTGACGATCGGCGTCGAGGTGGGTAGGAGCGAGTCATAATACGTCCCTGGTCGATGGAACGATATCTCTGTACTCACGCTGGTACAATTCTGCATAGTAGAGACGTGTAGTCACTGCTTTCGCCCGTAAACACGGGCGAAATTGCATGCATCTTCTGGCGAAAAAGTCGTCCAATTATTGCTAGCGATTTCATACCTTCCACCACGTGGATACCCAAAGTGTTAATAAAGCAATTGATCTTCCATTGTGGAGCTTGCGAAATCACAATCAGAAGTTCGCTTAGAATAAAATATCTAACGATGTGCTTCCGAAGTAAAACTTTGACTAAAACGGCTTTAACAGCTCCATTTAAAAATTAAAATCGCTTTTCGACGATTGTTCTGGTATTCACACAAGTCGCCACTGATGTTCTGAAGTGACTATTTAGTTAAGAAATTTATTACCTCTCAACTTTCACGCTAAGAAATTAGCACCAAGATTCTGTTCCATGTTGAATATTACGCGTGGTTTACAATATCCTGTTGTAGATAAAGGTAAATTATACGATCGACCGTGGTCATTTCCGGTTCACAAACCGTATATTTGATTTCCTTTATCGGCCGTATTCATTCCTGGATTAAAAAATGGTTATGTTTGGGCCGTGCGTACAATTTTTGTAAACTTCGTTTGTTTCTAACAAAGGTGCACGTGGATCTCAGCAAATCATGCCCCATGTATGGGACTGGCTGCTTTTTACCTTATTAATCAATTCGTTCTATCGTAACTAAAGAAATAGTTTCCTGGTTATACTTACACGTGTGTTTGACTCGTGATGTTTTCTGTGTTATATGGGGGCCAATCTCTCGATAACCAACATCGGCGACGAGCTAAAAATTGTCTTATAATTTGGCAGCTCATGACTTAAGAATGCAGTGCATTTGTTTATACTATGTATGAGAGGAGACCTCGCAATGCGAAACGCAAACTTTTCTCTTTAGCGCGTGTTGATTGCGTGATTAAAACAACACACGTTGCATCCATACTTGCCCGCTTGGAGACCGTGCCAAGTTTGCCAGCGCTTTAATTTTGACCTCTAAAATTAGTGTTACATAAATTCTGTAGTAAAGGTTATTTCTGTAATTCTGTTTTTGATTTAAAATTCTTACCTATGCAAGCCTTCGAACTGTAGGACGAGCTTACAGGTTGAAAAGAATTCGTTTTCTGCCAATCGTGTTTAAAATTATGCGACGAGTCACGAGCCTTGGATTATAATGAAATTTTGGAAAAATTAGTTATCTTGAGGTTTAGAGACGTTCCCGGTCCCGATCTCATGAGCTTAGTTACTGCCGCTTCCGCCATGTGATTACGGCAGCACGATGAAGCTCACGCCGTTGCCCTGTTGTACTCGGGCTCGGTGGCTGGCGCGCTGCCCGCGCGAGCATGTGACTGCCTTGGACTTGTCCCTCTGACGCCCGCGCTACCCTCTCTTCAGCACTTTCTTTAGACTATTTTATCTCAAATTTTCAATGATTTTTATTTATTTTCTCTGCTGAATTTGTTTTATGTAATTTCGGTAGGCATATATATCTCGCTACGTTATCAATGAATTGGCAAATCGACAATTGAATTGAGAAATGGCTAAATCGGACTTGAATTTTCAAATGTGCTCATCGCACGTGCATCAATCACTGTAGTTGAATTTCTCGATTAGGTATCGTGTTCAACTTTTATATACGGACGACGCGAGAAATTCGCTGAGGGTTGAAAATGATCGAATATGTACTTTTTGATGTCACGTGTTTTTCTCACAGACTTTTATTGACACGTGTCTGTCAAGCATGCGACTTTTTAAATTCCTCTATTGTGTGGTCGCAGAAGTCTTACGCTTTCGATGAGAGTTTTCAGGTCGCTAAATGAATATCTCGACACAAATATTTGGCTCGTGACCGTCTGCTCTCGGGATATTTTTTGGGCCCTATCTGCTCGCTCTGTGTCCATTGTGGTACTACAGCACAGCGGCACTTTGAGACGGTCGTTATGTTACTGTACTAAACAAACGCTCAATCTAGCCGACGATATTTGATGCAACAGATATTTGGCTAGAAAATAGCGGATCATCGTCGTTGATTGTTGTGGACGAGAATAAGAATCAGGCTTCGGAAAGAGTGCGTGTATATACGTTTAAGATATAAGATATTCTACTCAACAGAAATTTACCATGTAAACGAATTTCAAGATTACTGGTGAACCCGGTGTTCGGGATTGAGAAGCACGGAGATCTGAGAATTCATCCATGAATAAAATTTTCCCGTCTACTGTCGGTGTTTTTCGCAAAAGGCTAACTATAGAAAACCCATTCAAACCATTGAAAACATTTAAATTAACTCGAGTTTTGTATTTGGAAGGCGACGTGTTCTGTCGTTGATTATAAATTATTTCGTGCCAAACCGGAAGGCTAAGCAGGTTTGTAACCTAGGAATTTCTTGGAAACGAAGTTCTCCATAAACAACGCCCCCATTTAAGGGTTTTATTGGATATAAACAACCATTCCAATAATTGACCTTCGGAAGAATAGCAACGATCGGTCCCACAGATAACAAAATTCAAGACGAAAATTGTGCCCAGAATTAGAGGCTTCTGACACTCGACTCTAAAATTTATCACTGAATTCCACGACATTATGCTTGTTACTTCAGCAATCTACCGGTACTTGATAACAGTCGAGGAAGCATTGCAGTACAAACGATCTCAGAAACTGATTGGAAATACATGGAAACCGTAAATATTGTCTCCATCTCTGCCGATAAACATCCTATTTTAGTATCATTTTTTCTTCAGCTTAGATAGTGTTACACGACATTCTTATAATGCAATTCACGAAATTAGATGCAATGTTGAAAAATAATTCTTATAGTATCAACTCGTTTGCCTACCTGAAATCTCTCTTAACTGGTATACATAAATTCAATAATTTTGAATTTTATCATGAAATTTGAGCTGTACTTAATGAATTTTATTATGAAATTCGAGCTGTACTTAATAAATGTTAAAGTGCAAATGCAGATTTTAGAGCCGGGTTCAATTTTTTTTTTTGCGCTCCATCGCTCAATTGAGCGGTCAAACCTAATATTATTGTTACATATATATAACCCCTACTTTTTGGAGTTAATATAAATTCTCCTACTTTCCAAAAAGGTATTTCCCTGCATAACCAAATGGTTACATTTTTTCAACAAATTGTTTCCCTGGCAGCACCACCTTCCAATCCATATACTCGCTTTACCAGACAATTCCATCGCATTTGCTTAATGCTATCTAAATTCTCGAAATTTTCTCTTGGCTGAACGTTTTGTTTCTTAACCTTCGTCGACAGTCATGTTTGGATATTCACGGGAATGTTTTTGACTGTTATTCTTGTTGGTAGTCATGAAGGCACTCCGGTCATTCGTCCATCCTCCTGTCCCGTATTTTTTGTACTGTACTTTCGCGTGAATAATTTTAAAAATTATGCTCGAATATGTGAACTATACTCGTTTTCTTAATTTTCCCAAACATTTCACGTTGTTCTCTCGTTTCCGAGTTGTGGAAAGTAATTGCACGAGCTAAATTGGCGGTGATTTTCAGTTACAGTAGACTCCATTCTTACTACAACTTTATTATAGTTTTTTTTCTTTTTGCTGATTATTACTCAATTATGTGGTGTGGCATGGTTTTCTAATTTATTTTATATTACAGACGAAATATCAAGCAACAACACGTCCAAGCGGCCACAAAGATTCACCCCAGATCGTGATGCCTCAAGCTTCAGCCCTGTACCTCGAGACTGGGACAACATTTCTCCCCTCAACGACGATCAGAGACGCAGCTATAATAAGCGTGGAGCCAACACCTCCTCCAAAAGCTCTTGTGATTTAACCGTTGAGCCATCGCCAATCAACGAAGAAAACAATTTCCACGAGGATGAATATAGCAACTACAACAACCATGTGAAGAATTTCTCAAATTACCGTTACAACGTTCACGATAAAAACTTTCACTATAGCGGTGCAAATCACCCACATTTCTTCCATGGCGATGGGATGGGCATGCCAAGGCATGAGTACCATTTCAACAACCGAAATGGGCTTCCTATGGAGCGCCCGCCATTCAAGAACTTCAACCATGAGCGTCCAAGGTTCTTTAACCATGGCTTCCCTCACCAACCCCACCTCGATCGCTTCCACCGCGGTGACCCCGTGTTTAACTGTCCAAATGGATTCCACTTCGACCGCAGGCGACCTCCCTTTAGGGTGAATGGAAGACCTGGAAACTATAATCACTTCAACGGATCACTTCAAAGGGGTTGGTCTAATGATGAGGATGGTTCGGGGCCGTATGAAAAATTTGGACCATGCCACAGCACTAACGATTACTGCCATCGAGATGGTAGCAACAGCGCAAACGGGCGCGACAGTAATGGTTATGAAGGAGAATCGAGTGAGACGCAGTCGGAGTCCGACGAGCGTCCTACCGGATTGCCTCCTGTGCAGTCCATCTTCATTGACAACGGTGAGGTTTCGTGGCCGATCGGATAATTTTATGTATTTTTTTTCTGTCAGTTTATTTTAACCGCCAAGTAAGTCATATTGAGCTTATACATGAAGGATTTTTATTTTCTTGAATGTTTTCATGAGAATTCGACTTCAAATAATTCTATTTGTAAGAGATCAGTTGACTGATTTGTATTTTCCTCTGCAGATCAATACACAAAGATTCAGACCCCACGGCAAGAAGTTATCTTCAAGAAAAACTGCAATCAAAGCTCGTCTCCAAACAGAGTCCTGGAATCCTCAGACAACCTCAGCAACAACTCGACGACCAAACGATGCAAGTCAAATTCTACGCAATCCAAGAACAAACGAAACAAGAGTGATCCAGTAAACCACTCAAAAACAGATGGCAGCAAGAAAGATCCAGCACACACTTCAAAAAAGATTGTAGGACACAATAAGTTGGACAACATTCAACAGAGGAAAAGTCAAGCTGATTCCCAAAAAGGTCGGTCAAAATCTGGCAGCGTTTCAAAGAATAAAAACTCCAGCAAGCCCAATAAGGAACCGACTTCTGATCGATCCAGTCCCGTAAGAGGCAGTAAGCAGGACTCGGACGAGACCCGGTGCGAAGATACACCGGCTGCCGACTGCGAACTTTGTCCCAAGTCTGACGATGACGACATCTACTGCCAGGAAGAGGAGGCTGCTTACGCTCCAGAAATTCCTGGTTAGTAAAGCAGTCGACGTCTGCTTGTCCCTTTGCAAGATAAAATTTTTTATTAAATAGGCATCTTGTTTTGACGCATTCACATTCGTTATCGAAGTGAATTTACTGAGGTAATCTTCTAGGTTTATAGGAGTTGTCATTGTATTAGATATAATTTTTCGAATTTTTTGTGAAGTGGTGCTAACCAAAATTCTTGTGAATGCCTCTACTGTGTCCATTCGTTTTGCTTTGTTTCAAGTTCATGCATGAAAATCGAGGTGATATTGCCATTTACGGCAACTCTAATCGCGCGCATCATGAATATGCAGAAATTTTACGGTTCTTTCAGCATGATAGGATTACAATGTTTGATTCGAAAATTATCGGCATGCAAAAAAGAGATAAAGTGCACTTGCATTTCAGATCAATTCGACGGTAACTTCCCCGGCACCGGCATAGAAGACCCGACCCTGGCAGGTGTGATCGTGCATCGATTGTTCCCTGGTGGACCTGAAGTTGCAATACCGGTCCGCCTTACCTCAACCCTGGACCCGTCACTCATTCCGGGTGAAACAGCACTCACCCCTCTGGACCCAGCTTTCACACACCTTCTGGACCCTTTCTTTCAGCCTCTTGACGCCTCGAAGTGGAGTGGCGTCCCTATTGACGGGGAGGACCAAGGTCTTCCCAGCGTCGTTATCCCCGACACCATCATCCCGGTACAGCACGATCCTCTCGGCTGCCCAGTCACGGTGCAGGTAAAACGGGGATGAATTGTTGACTCTAGTCTCGTTCAATCCTAGGAAATCATAGAATGACTTTGCCTGAACGTCTATTCGAATTAAAAGTTCACTAATTTGAAGTCCGTTGCTACATTTCAACATAACATCATCTTTATGTTTTTTCTCTTTTTTTAGTGAAAGTATTTATTTTCATCTTACGAACTCGACTGATAGCTTCAATTGAATCAGGTGAAGGTTGACGAATTCGGAAACCCCCTTCAAATCGAGCCAAGCTCCTTAATGGTGCAGATGTCGACTCTGCAGCACCAACACCCAAGCTGTCCGATGGTGGGCTTTGACAGAGGCTTCCCTCTCCAGTACGCTCACCGCTACAACAACGACCACTACAGGTGCACGAGTGCCGCCTCACAAAGCCAGTGTTGCTCGTCTCTCGTGTCAACTGCAGGCGCTCGCCTCCCGAACTAGCTATTGTTGGCTTACTGCGTCATCTAGTTTCTTTATCGCCTTAATCTATTTTTTTCTGCCTCAATCTCGTTTATTTGCGGCCTTGATCTAGTTTCTATACTACTGATATATAGTGTTTACTGATGAAATCTAGTGTTTAATCTATTCCTGCTGGAATTCAGTTGCGCTGCTGTCGAAATCTAGTTCCTTAATTACTTCTATTCATTATTATTTTTAAACATTAATTTCGAATTGTGTTAGAAATTTGTTTCTCACTGGCTGACGCTATGCCTTTGATTACTCAATTTTTCGCGTTTTCAGAGGGAATTCGTTTAGAGACAACTACGACGAAGGCCTGGAGAAAAGGCTAGTGCGGCAGATTGACGAAGAGCTTGCGAAGCACTACAGTGATGACGAAGGAGAGACACGAGAGATGGAAGTGAAGAACGAAGATGGAGAGGAAGAGGCAAAGAAGAACGCGAAGCAAACGCAGCGTCTTGATTCCAGAGACTGTGAAGAAACTTCGTATGATTCACAGGTAACGTCTATGAAAGACTTGGTCAAGACTCGCTCGATTACGATTACGAGCCAAAAATCACGTTACTCGTGTTTAGAAAGAAAAAATTTGGTGGTCGCTGCTGTTGCGTGAAGATTGTCAATAACTAATGTTCGAATAATGTTCCTATTATCTCTGTAGTAGGTGGGGCCTTATCGGGTTTTATTTACTTATTTTAACTGAGAACTATCTTAATCATGTAAGGTTTCCAAACTATACGACATTCTTGCAATATATAGGATTCCCAATAGAAATAGGCTCCACGTTTCCAACTCAAAATTTTTTGTATCCACTTTTACTTCCCTGAGTGATGAAACGTTTTCCGCTTTGTCATCAATTACTTTTTACAATTATTTACTGACGTGACTCATCGTGTGCAGTACGCCAGCATGAGCGAGAACTCAAGTTTACCGACGTCCCCTGCGGGGGAACTCTCCGATTCCATGACTGCTTGTCCACCAAATACGCCCTCAACATCCGGCAACGTCAGCCCTACCAACTCTGAGATGGTTGAGAACTCAACCCCTCCCCCTCGTGGTTCTTCTCCGATTATTTTCCCTCATACATCAAACGCCTCAAGTTCTTCCGTGTCAATAGCATCGGCTTCCACTTTTTGCGCATCATCTTCATCATCTACTCTAGTAAGCCTGTCATCGTCGCCTATCAATTCCGGCAATCCTTCCAAAGAAACTTCACCTTCCAACGTACGGGAGATACCTTTAGCCTCCTCTTTCAGCTCCACTGAAACTCTTCCGACAGTTGAAGATGATGCCGAATCATCAGCTGGAAAAGAGACGATTTCATGCCAGAATGGGAGCGGTGTCAACGAATATCTTTCAATAGCTGACGATAAATCGGAACTCGAAATTGGTGTTCAGCCTAGTGCATCGAGTGATTTTTCTCAGAATGTCTCCAAGAATTCTTCTTGTGTTCAAGATAAGTGTCAAAGTCTTGAAAACGTGAGGACAACGAGGAAATCCGAAGTTCTGTTCTGTCTAGATAATTGCCCCGAAACTTGTGATGTCTCACAGGTGTCTAATTTGGAGGCAAACGAAGCAAATTTTTCTGCGGAAGATAGCGCAGCTTCTACTGATAATGTTGCTGCTACACAATCTACCACAGCTATCAATGATGCTTCGACTGCTGGTGCTGAAAATCTTGTTGGCCTTGAGCATGCCAGTAAAGAAGCTGAATCTTATGTTGATGCGGCGAATGGTGAGCCAATCAATGACATCGCGGCAGTAACTCAGGATGCGCCAGCTTTTGCGAATGTTGTCACTGATGCCGTTCCGAACGACGCGGGTGTTGACGGATCGACTGTCATGGTGGATGAGAATGGAGTCAAGGTTACTGTGAAGCAGGGCTACGTCATGGTCCCAATTTTAACTCCATACTATGATCCTTCTGGTGAGTTTTTATCACTACTGCATGAATATAATTCGATAATTTATTTTTGTTAAATTATGAATTATATTATTCGCTTGATTTTATGTTATGAAAATGCATCATGTCATTGTCCATAGTTTTTCTGTTAAGAAAGTCTATCATTGACTCATTATAGAGTTGTAGAATATCTTTTGTCCTGGAGCGTTTAGATCCTAGAGTTCATGTCTCCTCGATTGCATATACAATTTTCCGTTGTTTAAATTTGTTATTATTTCTTACATTTCAGTCCTTTACGGTTACTCAATGATGCCGAGTGAATCTTCCATCGATCATTCATACCCGAATGCGTGCGGTAACAGGAAGAAAAAGAAGAAGCAGAACAGGCGACGCGCCGCCGAAATTAATGCGGTCAGTGAATATTGCTATTGTGTTACCAAACTGTAAACTGTTGTGTTGTTACCAAACTCCGATTAAAAACTTTAGTATATCCTGTTGCAAAATATATTGTAATAATGTGACTGAAATTGGAATATTCATTGATTTAAACCCCGCGACATCATGCGTTTACCAGATAACATTTTCTGTTCAGGGCAACTATTCGGCCGCTGACATGTACGCCGGCGATCCCTACATCGCCACTGCTGACGGTTATCTGCTTCCAATGGACGCCAGCCAAATGATTCATTACCCTCAGCCCGGCCTCATGCCCTGCATACCCACCATGACCCAGTACCCCTACCCTGTGCTGCATACCGGTGCGATGCCTCCTCAATATCCTGGTCTTGTCGACGAAGGGTTCATATCTGTGGAGCACACTCCGCTCCTTCCTGAGCCTCAGCCTACTTTTCCAGATAATTCAGCTTACCCCGCTCAGTGCTGCGCTCTTGGTCAGGAAGAAAACCCCAAGTTTGGCCCCTTGGAAGAGACCGAGATGCAACAAATAAAAGAAGTTTTGGCGGAGAGACTACAGTCCAAACCAGAGATTCCAGATGTTGGTTTAACTGATCTTGATGTGCCAGAAGCTGATGGGGAGCCCAAGACTGACAAAAATCCTACTGCGATTGCTCAAACAAGTCCAGAAGATGTTGTAGATCTAAAGCCGGAAAGCGAGTTGTCTGAGGAAATCATTTCTCATGACAACGAGAGTGTCGACACAAAAATTGCCTGCGAAGCGGAAATTCACAATGCTACATCAAAAGAACTACCTCCTGATTCTACTGTTAGTCTTATGGATGGTGGTGATGAATCTATTCCACTTGCAGAGTCCTCGTTAAAATCAGAAGAAGCAAATATGGAATTGACTACCGTGCAAAATTCACCTGTTGAGGTTACACCAACCGAAAAATTGCACAATGAAAAACTTCAACAATCATGTGACTTGACCTTAGTCAGACCTGCCTCTGCATCGCTTGAAAATTTCGCGTCAAGTGAGTCCGACCCAAGTACGCTGAAAAGCACTATAGAGCTTCTTGATTCAGTCGACAAATCAAGTATTAATAAGCCAACTGCTTCAACGGCTCGCACATCTGAATCATCTGTTGTTATTCCCGAGAAAACCATTGCTCTGCCTGAACCACTGAGCCTGAATCACTGTAATGAGGACATTAATACACTAGTACAATCATTATCTGATGATATTTTGACTTCAATTCACGATAAAGATGAAGCATCTGCTCCAATCACGGCGGCTGGTAGCCGTAAAGAACCAAGTGAGGAGATAATTTCCAGAGGCTCAAATCACATCCAACCCTCTAGAATGAGAGATGGTGACCGTTGTTCAGTCAGCTTACTACGTAACGCAAGAGATGATGTGCTGGAGTCCATTGCTGAAGAGAGTTCTGGTAGTTTGTCCGATTCGTCTCTCTCGAACGAGGAACCAGAATATGTAAGCAAGATTACTGAAGAAATGGAATCAGCTCTCTCACTTCTACATACTCGAGTTGAGAGGCGAGACCTTCCCGTAACAGAAGCGGTGAAGCGATGGATGCGTGAAGTTACCCCGGAAAAGATTTTCACTCTCACAGAAGTAGATGACTCTTGCATAAATGCGCTTAGGCTCAACGAAAATTCACTCGTTGAAGATTATTCAGATGACGATTCATATGATAGTGAAAGTGAACATTTATTGCCACCATCTTATTCAGATATTAAGGAAAGCAAAGCAAATATTGACCAGTCGTCAAAAAACGTGCGAGGCAACCCTTTTGGCAGTGCTCAACGCAGTGAAATCTGCGTTGAATCCACCACCAAAAGGGTTGCCAATAGCTCTTTCTCGCTTGATATTCTGGACGAGTATGATGGCTGCAGTAGCGTCAGCGGCTTGAGCCAAGGGCCGCTTTTCTCTGCCTCAAGCAGCCTGTTATCCAGCCAATCATCGAGCAGGACGCTTACTCCATCAAGGAGCTTCCAAGAGGGCGACGATCCTGAGGACGATACCATACCTTGTAGTTGCCATCCTGGTGGCTACAAGAAGTACTACCAGTTAGCCATAGACTCGGAGGACAGTCCATCTGGGAGCTCATGTCCAGAGTCTCCGTGTGACTGTACTCATCTTCAAGCCTCCTCTTCTGACCGAGTCTTACCATTAGCTGCTGAAATATTACGCACACAGCATCTTGATTTAGCAGAAGTCTCCAATCTAGAAAATAGCAATGCCGACTGTACGCATTTGCCTGAAAATTCAGCACATTTAAAGTTACCTGCCTCTTATTCATCTGCCTGTAGCAGTGGTCTGGGTTCTTCCGTAGCCACTACGCCTGCTGACTCTCCCCAGCGTCTGCCATCACACTTCTCCGCTCCTCGCTTCCCTTTCGTATTCTTGCCTCCAAACATAGCCGCTGAAACTGGGCCTGCTTCGCTCAATAACATTCACTGCTGTTCCATCATGTGACGTGATGTGCCTTATTCTCATATTCTTGTGTTTTCTCTTAAATTGGTTTGCAATGGTTGCTGATGTAAGAATATTTTCCCACTGAGCTTTTTCAAGCGACCAAATCGACCTAAAGGCAATACCTACTCCAGGTTCTCCTTAGGTAGTTCATCTTCAGCAGTTTCGGCCACGTCCCACAACGAAAGTTAGCCCAACTTACCGATGCTCCACTAGAAAGTAGCAGTGACTTTCTTGAAGTAAATTATCCGATCTATAAGGTGTACTAGGACCTCTGCAAAACCACTTACGCTTCTCTTTCAACGCGCCCCATACTTCGCTCAGCTCATGTTGCTCTTCAATGCTTCACAGCGGCCAATTTTCATTAGTATGTATGTAACATGTTATGCCAGATTACCGGTATTCGATCGTCCTACCATCCCTCATACTCCAAACTCCTCAACTATTTTGAAATATGCAAGTGCAAACTGTTTATTCTTAGGTGATTTTGGATTTAGTTTTAGGTGTTGTTCTAGGATCTAAGTGTACTCAATAAGAATTTTTCCAAAGTGGAAACTACGTTGAAAAGACTAACTATTTTTGGTGCTAATGTTACTAGCACGAAGTAACCTGGCTGGCCCGTGTTATTCATGGAAAGTAGTGAACTCCAGTGAAATGTTTTTTGCATACTTTTCTATTGAAATGTGATGTCCGATCGTGTTGGTCTCTATGAGACTTCGGAGACCACTGTTGAGACTATTTATCAGACTCTTTCATAGATGTCTTCGAGCGTTGCTCTGTTGTTATGAACCGGGTCTTCATTTGTTATGAAGCTATGTCTAATATGACATGCGCATAAAAAAAACGAATCAAGGCGATGACAATGAAGTTGAAAATGAGATTAACGTGCAGATATCCGAAATGACCATCATGAGCATTGCCTCTATACCGCAGCGAAGTCTGACCTACGTTCAGGAAATCTCCTTGATATTAAGGCAGATGATCTCTGTTCTGAGCATGGCAAGACAATTTACTCGCAAGAGGCCAGTTTGTTACTTGCATGATGAGAAACGTGCATCAGTGTTTCTTACTACCTAATTTCATGATGTAATTTCCCTAGACACGCGGTCTGAGGTTATGGACACGTACGAGCTCTCCTCCTAGGCGTCCTTTAGACACCCAGCAAGCTCTGCGTTTGAGAAAATGTAATTTTTAAAATGATTTCGTTTGGTTGAACTTATAGGGCAAATTTTCGACCCAGGAGATTGTTAAAGGTATGAAATTCTTGATCTACTAAAGCGTCACCAATCCTATGATATTGTGGATGTTGTTGGCTTCTTAGTTATTGATATATTTGTTGGATTATAGCTGCATTGTCTAGCGTGTAGCCACGGACGATAAATGAGTGCTCTTGTGTTCGTTTGTTCGCTGGGAACTACCTATGCCTTGCCTGCTCGACTTCGGTCGCCAATCGAGTTACTCGCGTGCCATGATCTAAAAACAGTTGGATGCACTTCCGATGTCTGCCAGTACTAGGCCATCAATTGAATAATTTTGCTCAGTCCTTAGAAAATTTCCAGAGGCTTTTATTTCAATGCGAGTGTGGAGCGTTAGCATATAAAGTTATACTCTTGACTGACTTTAATCGTTGGATGAACATTTGTTTGTTGTGCAAAAGTTTGGTTAGGTAGCTCGTGCGGCGCAGCGCCGGAGAGTGAACTGTCATCCGTAGCGCCTTTGTGCATTTAGGTACAATGTGATGAAACTGCCTCTAGTGTTTGGCTGTCCCTGCCCTTCATAGTGTCATAGATAATTTTATCAATAAATCGTACACTAGTAGCTGTAGTATCTTTCTGCCTGGAGATATAATTTAGTATAGATTGTTCTTAATTGTTAACGATTTGTTGTTGAAGAAAACCGGGTGTTTTGAGGTTGTTACTCTGTGTGAAAAACTGGCTTAAGTGTCATTGAGGTGTCTCAACTGCCCTCTACTTTTGATGGACCTCAAGGTCAAGACTGAATATACGTTGCGATTCACTTAGAAACGCCTTCCCTAATGCAATTTAAAAAGTTGAATTGACGGTAGAGTTGGTTATGGGAAGCTCGGGTGCGTAATTTCATGAATAATTCGTTCGAAACGTTGTTTGAGGCGTGTTCATGTTCAGCCTAACGTTACTTGAAGAAATTAGACTTCAATCAAAGATTTTGAATCCCCAACATTGTATTAGAAGGAGAAGTAACTCATGACTTTGAATGTTGAATTTCTAATGAATTACAAATACCGATGTTACGATCATCTCTGAACACGAAGACAAGGTAACCTTGCTATCCGAGGTTTTAATTTGACGTTCAATTTATCCTTAAAACTCATCTTCATGGGTTATCTCCAGTAAAGAACTATTAGCCCAATCAAAATTTACATATCAGCCTTATTGAGGCTTTGTATCTTCCGATCTCTCAAAAAATTAGGTTTTTAATTTCAATTTCTTCGAAACAATTCACTCAAACGCACATCCTGAAAGTGAACCAGTGAAATGATTTCACTGTGTTGTTATGACTCATTGTACTTATTTTTAGGCCTTGCCCTCTCTTAAAATGATCACAATTTGTATTTCATTAGATCTAACCCGTGATGAATTATAAGTTAAAACCTTGGACTTCTTCATTTATGCATTGATGGAATCACACATAATTCGATTGTATCTAGGTGAAGTAGTAAATGATGGTCGTTCCACGGTTTGCATTTTGATTCTTGGGGATGCGTTCAAATTCGAGTGCTGCCCTTGACAGCTGCGCTTTTTCTAATGGACGGAGATTAATTCCTGCGTCTTTGAATGAGACTCCGAAAACTAGGCGAAATTCTCTCCAGCAATAACGTAATCGGTTGTGCTGTTTCTTGACTCTAGGGATCATTCCTGGAAAGTTTGGACAAGTTCGTGTCGTTTTGATTGTAAAGTCTAGAGATGAAATACGAAAAATGCCCAATATTTCTCATCTACCCCTTTTGGCTTCAATTAAAACGGATGTTTTCTTATTCCATCTCGATATTGATGCCTATTTTCAAGTATTTCAGTAGATTCGATTATTAATCAAGAGATTTATTGAACGAAAATGGTACGAGTTGCTGGCTGGCCGTTAAACACGTTAAGTGCGGCACGATGGGTCGTGCCATCGGTATGAAATACGCTTCGAATACGACATAGACGCACTTAACGTGTTAAACGTGCTCTTGAACGATTCATCTCGACGAAAAGTCGCCTATGAACTATTCCTTATTTACTGTCACGCAAAACGTGAGACGTAAATTGATAATTGTGACTGACAACTGCCTACAGATCATGATTATCACGCAGTCATTCACCGAGTCCCAGAATATCTAAATTTCTGTTATCAAGTTATTCTGTTTCTAGCATATGCATAGAAGATCATGTACAAATTATTAAGTCTTGAGGTATCGAAGTATCTAAAAGGAATTTTGTTGATGACATACGCTTTCCTATCATGGTTTAAACATTAAAGTAATTAGTTCCTACGTTCTTCTGGTTGTAAAAGATCTAAAATAGCAATGGACGCGATTGGCTACGTGTTGGGCAATGGCTACGTGTTGGGCTACGACAAATACACATGTTCCGCATCGTGCTTTAGATCTGCGACCTTTTTGGCGTTCAAAAACTTGTTAACTTCAAGTGAACAACGTGACCATGCGTCTATACGATATTTCGGAACTGCTTGAAACTCCAGTGTCTCGCAGTCATTGTTATAGCTTCTGGTTATTAATAGTTAAATAAATAAATGTGTCTACTTTTCAGATAATTGTGCGTTCTGACGACTCCATAAGTGTTATTGTTGAACTTGGTATTTTTATACAAGTGGAATGATGAGGGAAAAAGTTCGAGTTGACAAATGCAGCTTTTGGACTTTTCTAAATTTGGTTGGTAGAATAAAATGTATTGAAGTCATCTTGAAGGCTCTGCGAAGTCCTAATAATCTTTCGAAGACATATGTATTGAGTCCTGTATGAAAGTATGGACGATTTGAGCAACTCTCCGCGTAAGGTGAGGATAAGCCTGGTGGGTATCTGATTGTCGAAAGACGCCATTTCAGTGATGGCGCGGCCAATAGCGCATCGTGTTGGTGCACGACACTTTCAATTAAACAGGCCCCTCAGTCATTAGAACGTTAAAATGATTCCGAAAACGTCTCTGTGACAGAATGGCCCTCTTCAATAATAGTGTTGTACACGAACGCACAACGCTCTATCTATCTACCTACCTTTACCTCCATAGCTGCTGAAAGGGCGTCTCCTGACTTCAAGGATAGATCATAGATACCTCAATTTTTAACCCCAAGGCAATCCCCACCTTGCGTGTCGCGCCGTACATACTACCATAACTTTTCTACCGGACCCTGTATGTCCTACGACAATCGTTTTCACTATTTCAACTCCCATTTGACATTCGCTAGATAATTTCTTTCATTCGAATTGACATACGACAGTTCAAAGAGAACCCTTGTCTTAACTTGTGCAGCTAGTATTTCTCTATATCGGTTTCGATACATCTCTGATTTAGAAAAAGGATCAAAGTAAATACGATCTAATCCGAGCTCCTTAAAGATTTTTCACATTACAGATGCTTATGATTTTCTGTCAAGATTTCATCTACGCTGGATTGCCCGTTTGCAGGCTTGTGCGTAAGGTGGAAAGTGCCATTGGGGTCCAATTTAAAGTTGTTAACGCTGAATCTTTGTTATTGTGCGTATTCTCAATTGTACAGTGACCCTCACCTCTAGTGACGCAGTTGTTGTGCAAGCTTCGGAGTTTTTAATTTAAGTAAGTGCACTTGATCACGTGGATTTTTGGCTGCAAATTCGTGGTTGAGCCAATTAAAAGTTGTGAAATGTGTTACATCGCAATAGATTACGAAGAAAGTGCTGCTTGGCTTCATTTGTAGAGACGTTGCATCAGCTCCATAACCCTTCCACTGCTTAATCGTAGTCATAGTAACGTCGCACCTTTAATTTAGCATCAAAGAACCCATTGATATTGTATAATTGAAGTGAACCGCGTCTTGCTCATTGAACATCAACGCCGATATGCTCCCCTTTGAATTATTGTCTATCTTATCCCAGAATTGATAGGAATGATTGTGCGAAAAAAAAAAGAATTTCCGAGTGCTTGATGTTCTATTTTTTGAACCAACTTGATCGATCTGCGCAATCGTCGCATAAATGTGGTTAGTTTTGCGACTGCATTCATACTAATTTAAAAGTCTTCGCGTACGATCAATCCATGTTCTGGATTTACTTAATGTTATTCTTTCTATTTGCTAAAAACAAATTTAAAATTTTTAAGTTTTGAGAGCGTCCCAAAAATTTAAATGTGGCCATGCTCATATTTTTGTTGTGGTGTGTATGACGACGTACATAATATGGTCAATATTCTATTTATTTGTTCAGGATTTCTGGCTTGCTGTCGAATTCTTTTGACAATATTAGCTTAGGGCAAAATGTTGATTAAGAATACGCGCACGAAGTCGAAAGACCACTGAATTCTACCCAAAATGCTTCATAATGTCCTGAACTTTCTGCAGAATAATTATGTTGTGTTTTCCTTGCATGTGTTCGGGTGAGATAGAAAAAATATTGAGATGGAACTGAATTCGATGATCACCAGTACTTGAGAAGAATTGCCTCTTTGGCTTCGCTGTATTATAAAAGATCTAAATATAAAAACAATCCACGTCCATTTGATCAACAACAGGATTGGGATCTCGCCAGCGCCTATTTCTTTTACGTCGAAGCTCATTAACTGAACACGTTTATACGTCTTCCTCCAAAGCGAATCTTTGGCTGCTGCATTTTAAATTTCTATCTTACCGCAATTTTCATGTTGAATCGTGATCATTGTTATTATGTGATTCAACAGATATTCATCTTCGAACGTCTAGAATCTGCATCGTCTAGAATCTAGATGAACGCTAACGAGCTCCAATCTAGTCGACCTTTATCAAATTCAGGAGACATTATTATTGAGACAGTTATTTTGCAAGAGCTCTGGTATTTCTTCAACGAAATGATGTTGTGTTATTTGCTCCCGAAATCAACTCATAGTGTGATGGCATAGGAATTTCGGGTGTTTGTTCATTGAGAAATAAGCATGAAATGAGAAATAATTGTTCTTTTTATCAGAAAATTATGTTTCCTCATTTTTCAATGAATTTCATTATGTACCAATCGTCACTGCACAATAATGTTTCCACCTGAACTTCTAAAGGAGCGTGTTGAAATTTCAGCAGTGGAGTTTAGCTTGCCAGCATCATTTTTCGTAGTGGACAAGTGAATGGTAGAAACCATTCCACCAAGAACCCTGGTCGAGCTTTAGAGGCATAGATCAGTTCGCCACCTTTTTCACGCTACTGAAGTTTCTTCAATATTTATCACAAGCAGCCTCGAAAGGTTTCGCTGTTTTAGTTCAGCCACGCAAAGCATGCTCCAATTCATCTTGATAAATCTGAAGTCCATTACTTTGCCAAGTGCGCCGATATCCATGTCTGGAACTTCCGTCATTTGCTTCCGTAAGAATCGTCTCGAAGTCCCGCATTTCATTTCTTGTTAATGTCACGCATTGATTGCACTTTTAACCGTTAAGAATGTTGCGTTCATCCCACAATCGTTTTTCTTTTGTATCAGTGATAGGGCGAATAAATATTGTTGTATTTTAAAGTGTTCTTTTATTACCCAATTGAGAGTTTGCTTTCTTTATTCTTGTTTGACTAAGATGTGTAAATTAGTTAGCCTTCATTCAGTTTTTAGTTCTCGTGACTCGTGGAAGCACACACGAGCTGAACATGTCAACCATGTGCTCGTCTTAACACCCTCAGCTTATGAACGAGAAGAAAGATGTCAGGTTTCATTGGGTGAGTGAATGTAAACAAGAAGTCGTCACTCACCCAAGAATATAGACCACTGATTGTCCGACAATACTCCTTTTAATAAGGGTAAAGCATGGATAAAACTGGACATAGAAATAATACCAATATCCAAAAGGATCATGTGCTAGAGATGTTGTGTGGGAGATTTGAATTAATGTTTGGTGCTTTTTGAACAAGTGCTAAGACTCTTTCCATCACCTCTCGTCTTCTCAATTGACAGTTCCCAGGGTCGACTACTAATTAATTTTCCAAATCGTGATCGCATAAGCATTCAAAAAATGGAACATTTTCCGTCGAAACTTGTTGAAATACGAGTATGTATAATTCTATACATTCTCTTGAAAACTCTGCTGCATCAGTAGCCACTTGAAATTAGTGAAAAAATAACTCTTTTGACCATGATCAAAAGTTGCCAATTGTCGGATACAAGTACAAAATTTAGTTGTATGCAAAATGTCAAATTTAATTAATCGAAATAGTACAGATGTAAAACATTTTTTCGCAAAAGAGCGCAGATGAGGAGAGAAATGTTAAGGCATCGTCCAATAAAATAGTGGTAAATACTCCCTCAATCGTCAGAATGAGGTTTAATGAGCCTTCATTCTTGACTTCATTATATAACCTTTCAACTGAGCAAGGCACCATTTTCTTACGAACAAATCCATGTTATATCATTCAACATTTTTTTTTGCACTCGTAGCTTCCATTGAGATAGTTGAAAGTTCATTGTCATGGATTACGTCGTAATGTATCTGCTCCTCTACCGATGCGCAACCAGCAAGTTGGAGGTCATGTCTTCCATCTCCGCCAAATCTTTCGTTTAGCAAAGACTGTTACAAAACCTTCAAGCAACACGGATTTAACTTGGCAGTTTGTTTAAAATTACTAGTTTGTATAGAAGTTGAGTTATCCATGTTCAATCGATGCGTATAGTTGCTATGATCGACAACGGGCAACGGCCAATATACATATATTACGGGTCAAGACCTTCAATAAGTGCAGGTAATGAACGACCGAATTCAAAAGTAAGGAATGTTTGTGTGATTTTTTCGATAAAATCAGCGCGGAGTTTCTCATAAGCTGAAATTATGTCAGAGCTACTTATATCGTCAACGCTCAATGAAACGCAGATGGAAGCAAGCGCCGCCGGTCAAATGGTTGCCCACTCGATCGTGTGATTCAGCAATGCACTGCTTGGGCATCGCTCACTGGCAGAGCTTCAACTGGTGTGGGGCGTCCTGTTTTTCTGCAGCGCGCGAGGGCTCACAGTGTCAAATCTGGAGCGCAGAGGCAGTCAAAGCTGTGGCTGGCAGTAAGAATGGCACCGTTGGCACTAGTGCTTGTAAAATCAGGAAATCCTACACAAAAAAGGATCCTTAGTGGTGTGTTAGACGTAGCATTTCCAGGTCACGCTGGAGCAGCGCCTCAACAAGACAATGATTTGAATTTCACGACATTCAACTACAGCTTGAGTTTATTGCGATCAATGAAGCCGACATCTTACTCAGTTTGTTTCGGCTAGAAAATTGCGTCCTTCCTAAGCTGTCTTTAAGTCTTTAACATAGACGTTTGTGCACCGAGACCGAAAAGAACTGACTACAACCAACATTCGATAAACCACCTAATGATAATGATACTCTACGCTGAATTTTTGACGTTCAACTGCTTATACGCTCGTTCGTTATTAATTCTGAAAAATTAATAACGAATTAATTGAAAAATTGTCCAAATAATTCTCAATTGAACGAACAGCAGTGAGGACGATTGACTTAACAGGATATGTAGATCTAAGGCCCAAGTACGGAAAATCGATTTAAAGTGTAGGAAATCGTTTCTATGCCCCGGGTAATTAATGTTAACGTAAAAGTCGTTGCCATCGAACAAATGCCATGTACATCCATAAACAGACTGAGAAGCCTTGATCAAGCACACCATCATCATCAAATAAAATGACTTTAGCGTCACTGGGAGGAGAAGTAGCGATGTGTCGCTCTAGTTTACTTAGACGTATTCTTCTTGTGTGGAAAAACTTTATTAGACTCCAGAATACGATTCAGTAGAACACAAAATACGTCAATACATGCAGCTCACACTCGCCCACTAATATAGCAATCAATAACCTAAGATAGAATAGTTTCAAAATCCTAGTTAGATTCACATAGTTTATTTAGTCAATATTTAAACGAAGTGTTTAAATATGCAAATTAAATTATGAAGAGAAGCTGCGCTGAATTTTTATAAATATCAAACAAAAAATTATGTTCTCCAGTTGTATAAATGTCACGTGGCGCGTTTCACACACGGGATTCGTGAGCTCAAAATACATATCAGCGTGCTTTAAAAATACTATAAAAAATAATTTAAATTACCAATGCGCATTGATAAACAATCAAAATAACTCCTAATGCACTCCCAAACAATCAGATAATTTTTTAATTGCGATATCTCAACTGCTTCGTCAACCAATTGTGCGCGTGCAGTCCTTGAGAAATAGAGGAATTAGATACAAAAATCTAATTGTTTGATAAACATTTTGTAACGATGTAAAAAAAGGATGTACCAATCTAATCGCAATTCCAAGATGAACAGAGTTCTTATGACAGAATATAAGACCAAAAAAATTTGTTATTTTAGTTTTACGTATTTATTTTGATAAATTTAACTCTTTAGGGACCATCTGATGAAAAATGAGGGTTATACTATTAATTACCTAAAATTACATTTTAAATTATAGCTACTAATTAACTGAGAGAATGGGTTAAAATATTTATGGTAATTTAATGGAAAGTTTGGTCAGAGATTGATATTCATCGTACTCTAGTGGGAAAAGTATACGTTTACTCGCTATGTCTTAATATATATAGCCAGGGAATGCACGTCTTAGATCTTGGTCGAAGTGCAGTACCAAAATTGGATTTATCGCGTTTCAACCGTTTGGTGATGAGCTCGTAAATTGGCGAGCCATTGCATAAACTTTCTGGTCATTTACTCCACTGACGTTTTTTGTATTACTTCATTGTCTGAACTGATAATAATAATAGACGTTTTTTTAAATGGAATTATGGTGAAATATTTGGTGTTTCCTTTGCCTCTAAATTCTTAGTTTATAGACAATTATCGACTTTTTATTCATTGTGAGGAATAAAATGCGGCGAGGATGCGATGTTTTTGCATTCATTCTCTTCATATTTAAAAACATAATTACGCTTATAAACGACCATGACGCTCATAGACCAGACGGCGAAGTGGGCAGGGAAAGAGGAGTGCATGTTTACCTTGAAGGGAAGATTTATTGCCTGCGCCTGCAGGAATGTGTATCAACCAAAGGTCTGGTCGTGCTTTAATCTACGGAAGTTTCACCTACCTTTGGGCTTCTAAAGCATATATCTAATACTAGAATAATAATTCAGAAATGTTTGGGGTAGCGATCAATGAAGAATAAATAGGTAAACCGACGGATATCGAGAAAATGCAAGAAAAGTCACACGCTATACGAACATCGGGGTGCATAATTTTATCCTCCCTGATAACAGTTGAAATAAAAAGTTTACATAATTTATCTTATTGACTGCATATTGAAAATAATTAGCCAGGGCAGCATTCCAAATTTCAGACTTGTATCTTATTTATGAGGGGAGTTATTGCAGTTATAAATAGTTATAAAAGTCCGTAAGCGACTATCGCGGCTGAGCGCGTCCACAGGGCTCTTAATTTGTTCCGCAAATGCTCTGACCAATTCGAGCAGGTGGCGATCGAAGATGTATTCAGACATCGATTTTTTTTAATGGAGTGAAAAAGTACGCGGTTTTACCTGAATTTCGGAATTTTTTAACATCTACAATGTAAACTCTATCTGTGCGAATAACTAATACTTGTATTATATGATTTTAGAATTGACGAAATAGGTGGATCCAATTAAACGTTTTCATTGAAGACATCGCTCTGTTTCAAATTCTTCATTCATTTGTTATTCTTTCTATGAAGTAACATTGATCCATGATAAAATAAAATGAGTCTCCAAAAATAATTACCCCTTTTAATTATTACCGATAATAATCAGCTTCTACGCAATTTCTTTTGTAAATTAAGTTTTGTTTGTATGAAAGCATATTCTATACGCGTTCTATTCGATTTCTGCCATAGAACTACGCGTTCTACTCGCCATAGAACCACCATGTGATAAAAAACGAATGCCATTGAGCCATAATATTTTCGAATCTACTGCCATAGAACCACCCTCTGGTAATTAGGAACGATTGCCGTTGAACCATCATATTTTCAAATCTACTGCCATAGAACCACCATGTGTTAAAAACGAATGACATTGAACCATCATATTTTCAAATCTACTGTCATAGAACCACCGTGTATTAGAAACGATTGCCGTTGAACCATCATAATTTCAAATCTACTGCCATAGAACCACCATGTGTTACAAATGAATGCCATTGAACCGCCATATGGCTTTATTGCCGGTAGATCCTGCACCACTAATTTTTTGTCTACGTTGAACGATTGGACTCGCCTGCTGGACGAAAAGGAGCCAGGGATGCAGTGTACCTCGATTTTTCAAAAGCATTTGACAGCGTTCCGCATGAGCGGCTGTTGCGTAAAGTGAAGTCTTTGGGAATAGCGGTAAATGTCTTCCAATGTATCAGAGATTTTCTAGTAGGTAGACGACAACGTGTCAGTATTAACGGAACCGTATCAGACTGGACAACCGTGCGCAGCGGCGTGCCACAAGAAAGCGTACTTGGGCTTGCTTTCTTCGTTGCTTTTTTAAACGATCCA